CCTCATTGTGGTCATCGTCCTTTACGGCTGTTTGCCTTCCGTCAAAATTTTCATTTGTTGTTGCCTTTCCTGAATCTTCCTCTTCTTTTGTTACCTCTTCTCTGTTGTGTGCTTCCGTTTCCGCGGCAGGTGTTTCTGGATTTGATTTTGCTCCAATGGTTGTCTGTTCTTTTCCTGCATCTTCTCGTTGTGTCTTTTTTCCCGGGGTTTTTGTTTCTGTTTCGGCGGCATCTTCTTCGGTACTTAATTCTGCTGTTAAATTCTCTGCCTTTGATGGTCCTGCTGCTTCTTGCGTTTGCGTTCTGCCGGCGTCTCGTTCTCCCCCAGTATCGTCATCATTCTTTTCCTCAATACTTTGAAGATCCGTAACTTCAACAGGGGAAGGAGGCTGAAGAAATACAGGTGCGTCAGGGGGTGTACCGTCGGCACCACCACCCCCATTCACTTCTTTTCCTTTTTTACTGCTTCCTGCATCTCCTTCCTTCTGTCCTTCACCCTCCTTGTGATCCGGGTCATCAGCTGAATCTTCAGTGTCTTCATCATCTTCCCCGGGATCGTCCTGTTTCTTCTCTTCAGCCCTTTGCCTTTTTTTTCTCTTCCATTTCTTTTTTCACTTCTTTTTCTTCTTTGGGTTCCACGACTTCTCCTTGAACTTGCGGCGTGGCTCCGTTCTTTTCTTCCGGACCTCCATTTGAATTGCCGATGGCTGCATTGCCAACTTGTTTGTTATCATCGGTACTGTTAGGACCTTTTTCGGTGGTGTCTTCTGGTTTTGTCTTCAATTCTCCGCCAGCAATAGTTCCATTTTGCGCTGCTTCTTCTGGTACGTGCTCATCGGATTGCTGGTCACTTTGAAAAGTGTCCTCACCAGCAAGTTTGTTTCCTGGCTTCGGAGTTATTCCGTCTGTAGGAGGTGAAGAGGATTTTGTTGGTTGCTGAATCACAGTTGATGGTTTGTGTGTGACAACTACGCTGGACGTAGCTTCATTCTTTGGTGATGCCTCTTTTTGCTCCGTCGCTTGTGAAGTTACTTGGCCCTTTGCTGGCGGTGCTGCTTGTTCCACCGTGATTTCCTTCGCCTCAGGCCCTCGTGGTGCTTCTGTTGGATCGCTGTTGCTGTTAGAAGAGAGGCCGGCGTTGGCGTCACTCTTTACGTCAACTTTGCTTCCATCATTCTCGAGAGTTTCAACGTCACCATCATCATTATTAAGAACTTCTTTTGAGTCTTGTGCCCTGGGCAACGGGTCTGGCGCATTAAAATGTTGTGACCCCTCTACTTCCGCTTTGGGAGGCAAACCAGCTGGAAGCACTGGTTGTAGCTGATCTACATTTACTTTGGGGTCCTCTTCTGTTAATTTTAGATCTTTTACAGGGGGGTCTAAAACATGACTCGCATCCTGACCGATATTAGACGATGAAGAATTGTCAACTTGAACAACAGGTTCCGATGATCGAGTTCCATGTTCATTAGAAGTAGCATCCTTTCCACCTGCATCAACAGCAATGCTCTCAACGGCGACAGAAGGACCACCACCAGCTTCAACTACACCTCCGCTGGAAGCTCCAGAAACAACGCCAGAACCATCGGCCGCACCACCGCCGGCACCGCACCACAGCACGCAGAGGGCACACACCAGCAGCACACGGCCGGTCATCATCATCGCCATCACTCCTGTCACTTGCGTGTAGCCTTCAGCACAAACTAACTCCCCGTCAACGCAAAAAGCAAAAGGAGAGACAAGTCACACAACAGCCACGCCACAGTCACAAATGGCAGCAGCCCAAACAAAACACTCTTCACATTTCATTGCGGCATCTGGCCTGCTCCTCCAATCCTCCCTTCGTGCAGTCCGTGGGACGCACAGCAGTAAGGCCGGCACCGCGTGTGGGCAACAGAAACAAAACAAGAGGGGGAAACATGTCACCGATGACAGTGTGCAGCAACCGACCAGTAAATAATAAAGTAACAGCAAGGATAATTATTATTCCAGGAAAAGAACAAAAACAGTAAAAAGTAAATAATAAAAGAAAACACGCGGGGAACGCGGCACATGTTCTCCGTGAGAAGTCGCAATGCCACACTCTTCGGCTCACAATACCGCCACAACTCTACACAATCCCAGAAGAAGCAGCAACAACCAACACACGCACACACGCACGGTGCCGTCAACAGTTAACTCTCGCAGTGTCAATTTCGCGTCGTTGAGCAGGGCAAAGCAGTCGTGTAGACTCGCACCGCTCCCGGAATACTGCGCGGTGAATTCTCGTAATTGGGGTTTGTACTCGTGTCCAGAGGCATTGCGTTGACTCAATCCGCCCGCATCAACCCCCAGTAACAAATCCACTGCCTGCAACGCCATTTTCTAAAACGAGAGATTTGTGTCCGGTGGCGTTGTGCTCATTCACCTCGTCCGTGTTATCCGCAGCAACGTGTTCCCTGCCGCCATAAGTGACAGACATGATCCCGGATGCATTCGACGCCACTACTATCCTCGGACCGTTGGCAAAGGAAGGCCTCTTCGTGGATGCATTCGGGACCATCACTTCGTTCGTATTGGTGGCAAACACAGGCCTCGTCTCGGACGTGTTGGTCGCCGTGTTGGATGCGGGACTCGGATCGACGGTGTTGGGTCCGTCAGCCGCCGCAGAACATCGCCAATCCTCGTGTTGACGTCACGGCTCAGCATTAACTTGCGGTGCAGTTGTCCCACCAGATTCTGTGTCGTCCTTCTTTTCATGGGGTGGTGGTAAGTGACAGATGCCCGTCCGGTCAGCATCGCCGCTCCGTGCGACCGGATGGATGGTTCCATCGGGAGGAAATTGGCGTCACCACAATTCATAAGGGCCCGCGTATGTGTCGTCACATTCATCGTGAAGGCAACGGTGGCCCCTTCCTCTTCCGCTGCACAGCTGGCAGCACAGTTGCTACATGTGTGCACCGCATTGGCCACATGGCACACAGCACCCAGCTCACCATTCCTGCCATGCATGCGCACATCAAAGCCAATGAAAGTGTAATTCTCACGCTGAGCCTCAGCACTGGCAGCAGAGCACCTCTTCCACGCCCACACACGCACGCGATAGCTCAGGCCTCCGTCACTCGGAGCACACGACACATCCACCGGCACAACCACCGTATCCGCAGCACCAGATACATGTCCAGGGCTCCCAGCCACCGTCACGCACACGGAAGAGCAGCAGCAGCACGAGAGTGCAAGGAACAACATGGCGCCACACCGTCACCATCGCAGTCATCGTCACGCGTAGTGTAGTCGCTGGAGCCAGTCAGCTGATCAGTGATAAAGAGGGAAAACAATGGAACAAGAGGGAGAGGGACGGAGCACCGCGGATACAGCGAGAGAGCGCAGACAACATGAGGAGAGGGCGGCAGGCCCAGCCGCACAGTTCACACACCACGAGACGGCATTCACCACCATCTCCACCCAGCTCATTCCCGCAGCCCCAGGGAAACAACCAAAACACCGCGGCCACCACACAACGCACACGGAGCGAGCACCCACCACAGCAGCCACACGCGCAAGCGAACCCTCATCCATCCATGACGCGTCAACAAAATCTCCTGCCATCCCGCCCTCGATGGGAGACGGAGCCCAACTCAACGCAGTCACACGCGGTGCACCACACCCGCAGGAAAGGAGACTCGGGCTGCGCGCTCCCCCTCCCTTCTCCTCATGGCCACGGAGGAAGACAACAGCCGCCACACGCAACTGCCAGCATGCACTGCAAAACAAGCATTCAAATACACTGCAATGTGCATCGTGTGTGTGTGGTTGTGTGCCTGCAGCAACACAAAGCAAAGACGTGGAAAAGAGGGAACAGAGTATGTGGAGAGAGACACAACAAAATGCACAGCGGAGACGCATAGCGGAAACAAGAAGAAGACCGCTCAAACTCATGACTGCACTGCAGCCCGAGCAGCGGCAATCCACACAAGATTTATTTAAAACAGAAAAAAAAACCATCCCCTTCCTCTTATACAAACCCCATCACACAAAATAATTATAAATAAAAAAGAAATCGTCCAATGCTGTTCCACACAAATTTAAAAAATCGCCTGGCTGCCGTGTGGCCACACCAAACTGTCTGTATATATTTTGCCCGCAAATAAAATTAAAAGATATTTAAATGTCTTTCAACCGTCCGACCCTCTGCGTGTCCGCACATCGTTTATATTTCACGGGGTCATCGGCGTGTTGCTGCTCCCCTCAGCCCTCTCATCGGCGCGTGAGTGCGGCCCGCAGAGCACAGTCACTCGTGTGTGGGGACTGAGAGAAGCACGCAGACACGACGGCAGTCGCGTCACTCCATCGGGAGAGTGAGCGCAGCAAAAGAAAAAAATCATCGGAGGGAGAGAAATGCTGACGGGACTGCCAGCGCGTGAAATAAACACAAAAAAAAAAAAAAACACGGCGGCAGGGTGTGGCTGTGTGTGTGTGGCGCTGCGGGTGTCTGCCAGCCCTGGCCGCAAGAAAACAAAACAAGAGGGAAGAAATGTGTGCTCCGCCCCACAGGCCCTCGTCGCACGCCCACACGTCACGGCTCCCGCAGCGCGCCGTTCGTCGCGGCCCCTCCTCATGCGTGCAGCAGGCGAGGCGCACAGGGCCGTCGTCGTGAGCGTGTCGGTGGTGTGCGAGTGGAGCAGTTGGGCGGAAACACACGGCACCCCTCGCAGGAAGAGTGCAGCAACAAACAAAGAGGGAAGAGTAGAAAAGAAAAAACACGTCCACAGTGATTGCCCCAAAAAGCAAAAAAGAGAAGGTATGGGGGATGAGAAATAATAATAATAATAAACAATAGAAAACAAAAATTTTTTTAAAAGAACACACACTCGCACACACGCTCAACACGCAAAAAAAAAAAAATGACGAATTACAAACAGAAAACAAGAAAAGAAAATTATCTTAAGGAAAAAGTTAGTTCTCGGAATTAATTCCGTGCTGGGGATGCCGCAAGTGTCCCACGCGGCAGCCAGTCACTCCTCACAGAGCCGCAAACCCCCACAGTCCCAACAGAAGAAGCAGAAGCAGCAGTCCGCTTCCGCAAACAGTGCTGCCATCACCATTTGCCCCAAAGTGACGAGCGGTACCGGCACCCGTTGTTCCTCTCGCCAAGGATTCAGAAGAGGGCTTCGGGCGAGACACAGCAGGCGAAGAAGTACGCGCAGCCACTGGCTTTGGAATATTAATTTTATTTTTGGCCAGCCCTGCAATCTCACTGTCATCCAACGGGCGGTTGTACAGCAGGACATTCGCCACCGTCACAGGAACGACTCCACGGCTTTCTTTGTTCTCTGTGCTGCCTCCATCCCCTCCAATGTAGAAGTGGGAGATCTCCCTCAAATCCGTGCTTCCCAATGTACATGGCGCATCCCCACCCACACGCTGACCATCGACGTACGCGGAGCTCTGGTTGCCGTTCCGTAGCACAATAGCCACGTGGTGTGTTGTCTCTGGCTTCCAACTGCTGCTGTGCTCAGTCGTCTTTTCGTCACCGCACCGCAATTGCCACTTATTTTTGTTGTTGTACGACAGTCCCAGGAATACAGAACTCCCTGCACCATTCTTCTTCTTCTTCACACCCATCAATGGAATGGGAGTACCTCCCTCCGGCACCTTGTGGATGGACACCGTCGCCACAAGAGTGAAGTTGTAGTTCGCAAAGTGGTACAGCTGATTCTCCCCCTGCGCGCCAACGGGCCACTCCGCCCACGCTCCATGGAACGTCACAACATCTGAAGTCTTTGTTGCCCCACCATCATTCCCCTTTATTGTGGCGTTCACCCCAAGGTACTCGTCCCTCCATGTGTCACCAGAGAAGCTGCCGGACAAAAAGCCAACCAGCCCAGCCGTGATCTTATCAGCGCCGCAGGCATTGTCAGTTGAAAGACCCTTCTGAGCAAGTAAAGTGGTGCACAGCTGGGAGACAGTGCCGTCCACCTTATTCCAGGTCGCCAGCACCTCCTTTACACGCTTCAGCTGCGCAGTCAGACGCACAGAGACCATACCGGATGATGGTTTCTCCCCTTCGGCCGTCTTCTTCTCGTACAGTGCAATCAACTCTTCCTTCCCATTCGTTTCACTTTTACCACTTCTGTAGAGCAGGGAGCTGGCGGCAGCGTCATCTTCCCCGGATACCGGCCCAATATCAACAATGTGCGTATTGTCCGTCAGCCAAAGATGGAGTACGCCCTTTCCATTTTCTTCCCTCTCAGTATTGGCATACACCGGCAGAGTCACGAGCATCACGTCCCTGTTCTCAATCGTCGCTGTGATAAACCCGCTTCTAACGCCCTTTGCGCCTTTTTTGTTGCTCCACACGCGCGAGAGCGTCCCGAGCGCCTCCGTCCACGACTCCGTTAGAGTAAACTCGTACACCCTGCGGCGGCCGTCATCACACGCAGTCATCATCATGAGTTTTTTGTCCTTCTCCCGCTCCACAACGGAGGGATCACCACAGCCGCCGGCAGACATCTCCCTCGATACCGTCCAACCCGCAGTGTCCGAGGAGTACATAATCAGCGAAACGGCTTTCCCATCCTCTTTTTTTGTGCCTTCCAATGGAAGCAAGAGAGTATTGCCTTTTATCTTAATACCCGATCCACCACCGCCAATCAGTCGTGTCCAGGATTGTTCCTGTCTGCCGTTAGAGATCCATGGGAGATCGTAAGTATCTTTCCAAAGGATCCTTTTGTTGCCATTTTCTTCACCACTGATGTTACCTTTTACCAGCAAGAGTCCACTTTGAGACACAGAATCTGCATTATCCTCATATGCCCAACTGTAGTTTCCAGCAAGCATGTAAATATCACTTCCCTGCACCACTGTTGTTGGTCCGCTCACATGTACCTTCTTCATTCTTTGAGTGCCAGCCAGAACTGCTGTTTGGGAGGGGCATTGTTCTCCTCCGGAAGAACGTTTCACCAGCACTTGTGTCTTCAATTTACTTTTATCCAACCCTTTTGGCTTTTCATCAGTCAGAGCCAAAAGCTCCGAGGCAACCCCAGTAAAATCGCATCCTTCATTCTTCTTGCACTGCGCCTCGGCAACGGCAAACAAATTACCATTCACCTCAACAAGACTGGGAGCATAGAGCGAACTCACTGTTTCTTCTCCTTTCTTATCTCTCCAATGAAACAACTTCTCCGGTGAAGATCCTGAATCTGACGGCATGTCATCAGCGGCCGCAGCTCCACCAGTGCCGCAGCACATCATCACAACGGCGAAAAGAAGCACAGTGGAATTAAACAAACACCGGGACATGTTGGGCCTCTGCGGCTCACTCTCTTTTCCTTTCCTCCTCCTTCCGCGGGATCCGGTCACGCAGCCACGGTTGTGTGTGCGGGGTGCCATGACTGCAGCAACACGTGAGAGCATATAAATATGTGTGTGTGTGCTGTTGTTGGTCCTTTCAGTGCCTTCGAATTTCACAGTAGCGTTTAGCGTTTGTTTGCTTCCTCGTGTGTGATTGAGAAAGTGGAGAGAAAAGATGCCAAGAAAGGGGTGAAACAGCGAGCACCGCCACCCATCCACAGTGAGTGGCACCATCATCCCCGCCGCACTCACTCCCAACAACAACTCACGCACACAGACACAAAGAACAGCAGAAGGAGGAGAAATGCACCGGGGACACACAACGACTGTTGCCACCAGCAGCAGCATGAGCCACGGTGGGTGTCTTATTCGTCAAATGTCAGCACACACCGAGAAACACCCACACACAAAACAACCGGCAGAATGCAAAAGGCTACAACCGTCCTTTGCAAAGCCCACGCGCTGCCGCTAGTCATTTTACTGTTCACCCTTCCAACTCACCCTCCAAAGAACTCGCGCATCAACCCACACAGGCGGGGAATCCCTGAACAAAGTATACACAGCATAGGAGAGACACGTCGGCACGTGCAGCAGCTGGACGAGAAGCAATCCGCACTTGTCCCAGGCACCCTAACCCACACCACTCACCGGCTGCACTCCAGCAGCATCACACCCTCCACACGTCGACGAAAGAATTCTCGGGCTGACAACCTCCCTCCTAGCAGGGCCTCCGCAGCCACAATCCTGTGCGTGCGTGCATTCTCAGCGTTTTAAACACGGCATGTGTGTGTGCATGTGCTTGTGTGTTTGGCAGCGCCTATACTTGCGGAGCAGCTGTGCGCCACAAGAGAGTCTGAAGAAAGCAACGGCAGAGAGAGGCAGATAGCACACACGCAAATTACTCATATCATCGCACACACACACACACACACGCAGCCGCGGAATGGGTGCACTCAACCACAAAATCAAAAAGGAAAACAAAACAAAAAGCCGAAGCGTGGGACGACCAGCGCACACACACTCTCATTACTCCCGTAAAGCAAAACACACACACAGAGGGAGAGAGAGAGAGGTCGCCCACTCAATGCAATAAAAACAAAACAGAAACAGTTACGGTGCTCCGTCCATGCAGCCAGGCAGGACGGCAGCGGTGCGTGTCGTGCAAAAGAGAGCACCAACGGGCCTGCATGGGTGTGCATGCATATATACAATGGGCACATTATTGTGTGTGCCTCGTGGGGTGAGGTGAGGGCGAGAGTCCATGCAAGGGGACACAAACACACAGAGAGAGAAGGAAGAGTGTGTGTGCGGGCGGTGCATGGCTCTCTCACACTCACTCTCACGCGGCCACCACCGCAGCAGCCGCAGCAGCCGCAACAACAAGAAAAAGCAAAAGAGGGGAGGTGGTGTGGGAGACCGCGGTGCTGCCGTCACTGTCGGTAATATTTGCTTTATCTCCACTTGAGGGTTTTGCAGTCCCTGCAGCATCTGGAGGTTGGGTACTCTCAGTACGTTTCTTTCCAGTGAATTTTTCTTCCTGAGCTGTAGTAGGGGTTCCATCTGAAGATGACGCAGCTGCTTGTTCTTGACTGCCAGTTGATGTACTCTGCGCGGTGCCTGCTGTGTATGTGGGGGCTTTGCTACCTCCTTCTCGCGTATCGTTTCTTTCATGCTCATTAGATGAATTTTTGGGTGCATCTCCGCTCTGGCTGTCATTATTCTCTTTTTCTAGAGCTTTCCCTTGATTTTGTTTTTCGTCTCCTGCAATGCTGCGTTGGGTACTTCCGATTCGTTTCTTCCAGTGCCGTGCAATTTGGGATCTGGAGATTCCAATATTACTTCCGCTCCGGGGGCCTTTAGATCCTCGTCTTCCTTCGTTTTTTCTCTCGAGGAGCCTTGACCTTCGCCACCCGTGACACCGTCGCCAACATCTTGACCAGCTGCCAAAGAAGGAGTTTGTGACTGCGTTCCAGGGGCGGATTTCATCGTTTCCTGTTCTTGAGATGCGGGGTGTTGAGGCAATGCCGCTTTTGCGGCTTTTTCTGGCTGAACTTCTTCTGGAGTTTTATTCCCCACTGAGGATAAAGCATTTCCTGTGGAATCCATGCCACCACCACTGCGAGTTGAGGAGGTAACGTCCGTAGGAGAAGACGGCGGAGAGTCACCTGTGTCCCCACCGCCAGAGGGGAGAGGCTCCGAATCGAGACCTTCGCTTCCCTTAGAACTTCCACTCGATCCAGCATCACCACCGCCCTTAGAATCTCCAGCAGTTTTGCTGCCACCAGCCTGTACGGTACCTTCACCATCAGTACCAACAACAACACCTGGATTTATACCTGAAGTTGAGTCCTGATTACCGTCTGTTGAACTAGAAACATTATTTTCAGTCGAAGCCTCAACAACAGTTATGGGTAATGCTGACCGCAGTGGCGCCGTAATCGTAGTTTTATCACATCCGCTCGGCATCTGAGAACAATTCTTGACCACCACTCCCGACGCCATGCAGCCACCCACTGCGTTGTTGTCAAGTCCCTCCGCATAAACACCGCCGGCACCGCACCACAGCACGCAGAGGGCACACACCAGCAGCACACGGCCAGTCATCATCATCGCCATCACTCCTGTCACTTGCGTGCAGCCTTCAGCACAAACTAACTCCCCGTCAACGTAGAGTGAAAGCAAAAAGGAGAGACACGTCACGCAATTACGCACCATCACAAATGACAGCAGCCCAGCAACAACAAACACATCATGAGACAGTTGGAATCGGTGAAAGGGCAAAACGCAAACACACACAGACCTAAAGCAATCAATTAGCAAGGAAAAAAAAAGTAAAAAAACAGAGGCAAAAAAGCAACAAAGAAGAAACTGCACCGAATGGCGCCAGGGTGCATGCAACCAGAACCCAAAAATGCGTCCACGCAAACAGTTGTATGCGTGTAGTACACATACGAGTGTCCCTGGGATGCGCGCCAATTGACGGATGTGGGGAGCAAAATGGAGCACATAGCAGCGCAGCGGAAGCAAATGAAGCACAATAAAATCATTATTTTCTCTTATTTTTTTACATCGGATCACAGTAGACGCGCTCAGCCCGCAAACAATTCTTCAGCCCACAGCGGTGTACGCCAGCGCGGATGCGGCGAGCACCAGCGGGGCAAACGCCCATGCAGAGCTGCTGAGGCTGCCGTCGACTTCGCGAAGAAGTGACTGTTTGAGCTTCGTCTTGTTAGCTGGGGCTTCGGTAGCAGTAAGAATTGGCGCCAGTGTAGTCGTGGTCGTAGTGGTGGTGGACGGTGCCTTGGTGGTGGTAGTGGTTGTCGTAGTTGGTGTCTGCATCTTGACCTCTTTATTGGTTTCGGACTTTTCTGTATCATGCTCCGTAACTATTTCTACCGTATTATTGGGTTTATCCCTCGAAACTGGCGAATCAGCATCCCCACCGTCTGGCACTGGATCACCAGGCTCAGTCTCCTCATCTTGCGTAGCGGACAACACGTCTGATTTCACTCCCGCAACGGCATTAACTGGTGTATTTGGCGCACGGGGAGTATCCAGATCCGATTCCTTATGTGTATTTGGATTTGAAGTATCGGTCCTCAGACCTGCCTCTTGCGACTCTAAAGGCAACAAACCCGAGTCAGCGGGTTTGACTCCAACAGCCTCTGCCGCGCAAACGGACGGGCAGCAGCACAGGGCAAGCACCAGCAGGGCGCACAGCAGACGGCACGTCGTCATCGTCGTGAGTGTGGTCGTTCAGTGGTGTGGAGCTGATCTGCACAGTGAGGGACATGGAGAGCAACAGGGGAGACGAGAGGTGCGGCAGACACACACAGAGGGCACACCACATGAGGAGAGGGCAGCAGCCAGGCATGCACCGTGCGCCGCACACCACGCACGACACACACTCCAATCCACGGCAGCAGGCACACACAGCCCTGCCGCAACAACAACACACAGACGGAAGAGGGAGAAGCAAACAGGAGCGGCACACAAGGCTCCACCGCATGTGCATACGGCGAGAGCGGTCCGTCGTGCCGGCACCCCTCACGGAGGGCACGCACACACACAAGAGGAGGTGCAGCGCACACAGCAGCACAAAAGCAAAGTAACAATAAAGAAAGAATATATCCCCGCACACCACGCGGATTGTTGGTCCACGGGAGTCGCAGCCAATAGTCATCACAAAAACAATTCAGTTGCCTTCGGCCGTCGTTCATATTCAGCGCACACTACTTCATGCAGGCCTGGACGCCACAGCAGCCGCACACGCAAAAATAAGCGTAATGGATGGAATAATGCAAGCAACCATTTATTTTTCAGTTTAAATGTTGGCAGATGTCCGCATGCGTTTTTTTTTTTTGCCTTTCAGAGGGTAAACCTTCATGCCAGGGTCGTGTGTTGGGAATTGCTGCAGGGTGCACAATTTGTTTGTTTCTTTATTTCTTGTGAATGTTTCTTGTGTTGGTGCAGCCAATAATTCGGTTTGTGTTGTTCCTGCCTCTCGCTGGTAAAGTGCTGCAATAGATGTTTGTTTTCCTTTCGTCGCTGTGGCACCTGATTGCTCGCCGTTTATTGCGGTGGAAATAAAAATATGTGAGTGGACTCCCACGCACCAGAACGCACCTTCGCTCTTATTTATTGCTGCATGGAAGGGCATGTGTGTTTGGTGGTGCCTCGTCCATATATTTTGTGGGTGTACATTCCCCTGCAGGCTGAGGGCGGGATGACGCTCCGTCGCGGTGCACTTCCCTCGCATGCCGCCCACTGTGATTCATCATGCATCACCCCCTCACACATTCCGTGGTGCCACACCGTCGATATTACTGCAGCCGCTGTGATTCCGCGTACTTCACGCATTTGATTGTGCCAAAATACATCCGCTCGTGTGGCCGCCGCATCCAAACAGCGGTGCCCAACACCGTGAGCGGCAGTCCACATCCCTGCATGTCCCAACGCAGTGGTGTTTGACTGTCAGCCAGGCGTCAGACAACAAGAGAGTCTTGTGCTGGCAGCACAACACACGGAGCTGCAGCGAATGACTCGGGCGGCGACGCATCTATTTGTCTCAAGGCAGTGAAAAGGAGTCGGGCAAAATAATGCCGGCTACATTCACGACACCACATCCACAGCCAAAGCATGCGACATGATGTGCGTTTCGCTGGTGCTGTGAAATGCCTGCAGACGACGTCACTAGTGGAGGCACACCACCCATGATCAGCGGACAGACAATAATCGGCATGGGAGGCCACAAAAGGCAGCAACGACGCCAGCAGCTCTCTCTCTCTCCCTCTCTCTCCGTTGCCTCCGAGAAGTAAATATTCCACCAGCCACAGCTGACTGTGCCATCGTGACACTCCATGCACGTCGTGGCTGCGTAAACACATCCCGTTCCCTGCAGCGCCTCAAAAGATGCCTCACTCCGCCCACTAAGTGCATCGGTGTGGGCCGTGCCTGGGCTGTGCGTGAGGACCACAGCGATGTGAGGGTCACCGAGTCGCAGCACGTTTGTTGTAACGTTGTTGCATGGCACCTGCACACACACACACGCAGCGCCTGCATCCCTCCCTGTTGTGTCCGCCCTCTGCCGGAGTGGCCACACGCACGGGCAGCAGCAAAATCACTTCACCCTCGACGATCCAAAATCAACACCGACATCCCTCACAACGCAGAGATCTCAGTTGCCAGCACGGGCTTCCTGTCGCTCTGCCATTGACGCTGAAACACGGCACAGTGCACGCACTTATTTTCCTCGTGTTCCGTCAGCCGTTTGCTTCACACATTCTTCGATGGGCTGACGTCCACAAAAGCACGCCACAAAAGGCCACTGTGATCGCACAAGCTCTTGCGATGGGCGTCGGTGTGTGCATGCATCCGCCGCTCACACGTGCTGGCAGGCAGCCTGCAGCCGGTGCCCTCGTGCCAGTTCATCGGCTCCAGCACGGAAAAGAGAAAACGGTCTATTCCCGATGCACTTATTCCCACCAGCAGCACCAACACGCCGGTCACCAGCCGTCATTCCTCAGCACATCCAGGAATGCTGAAAAGTGACGTGGAACTGTCAGCCAGCAATGCCACAATCCCCGCACACATGTCTGATCCACCAGAGAAGACACACAAACTACACACAACACCCTTCACACGTCATCCGAACATCATTCCAACACACCGCGACACGCCAAACAGAAGTATTCGTCACTCCAACGCACCTCCCCACACAATCAAATAGTCCACGCAACACGCACGGCAGCAGCTCACACCCGTCAAACAAATGTTCTTCGGATCAGTGTTATCCACGTGCTGCAGTGGGAAGCAAACAAAAGAGACAAGCCGCCAAACTCCAAAAGAGTGCCACGACTGGCCGTAAGTCAACGTAACGCAGCCAGTAAAAGGAATTCAGTCCTAATGCCCTCAGCCTCCCACCTTCCCCACAAAAGCTGCAAAGATTGAAAACAAACGCACCGCCCAATAAACTCTTTGTGCAAAGCCAAAAGAAGCCGCAGTGCCTCCTGCTGCCCTCACAGTCCGTTGATGACGCCTGGATGCGGATGGTCACCCATCGGTACTTCCAAACGACGCCGCACACCCGCGACGCATCTCCTGCGCTTTGAGGCGCACATGCCTCAATATCACCACAGACGCCCACGCACCGTCGGTACGCACCACATTGCGAAACAAAAAAGAATACGCCAGAGTGACAACGAGGCAACTGCTGGAAATCGCGTTGCAGGCATCATCACAGGCAGCACCAAAACCGCTGCAGTCAACTGTGGGGTGACGTGCACCAACGGGCCTGCATGGGTGTGCATGCATATATACAATGGGCACATTATTGTGTGTGCCTCGTGGGGTGAGGTGAGGGCGAGAGTCCATGCAAGGGGACACAAACACACAGAGAGAGAAGGAAGAGTGTGTGTGCGGGCGGTGCATGGCTCTCTCACACTCACTCTCACGCGGCCACCACCGCAGCCGCACACGCAACAAGAAGAAGAAGCAAAAGAGGGGAGGTGGTGTGGGGGACCGCGGTGCTGCTGTCACCGTCGCCAGCCTTTTCTTTACCGCCATTTTGTTGCTTTTCTGTCTGTGCAGTATCGGAAGGTCGAGAATTCTCCACATTTGTCGTTTCGGTGGATGTTTCTTCCTGAAGTGGGGAAAAACTTTCATTTGAAGATGTCGTTGCTGCTTGTTCTTGACTGCCAGTTGATATACTCTCCGCTGTTCCTGAAGTGGATACAGGATCTTCGTTATTTCGTCCTTGTTTTGCGGGTGAATCCGTGGATGCACTCGTGTTCTGGCTGCGATTCTTCCCTTCTTCTGAAGTTGTTGTTTGATGTTCAGTTTTGGGTTCCGGCAGTTTTGCGTCTGATAATTCCGGTGATGCCTTTCCTTTGCCTTGTAATTCCGTATTTGGACCCTCTGGTGACGGCTTCGGTGCTGCGCCTGGCGCAGTGAGGGACTCTGATTTTACCTTATTTGATGATTCCTTACTTGCCAGATTGTCGGGCAACGCAATCACTGAGTTATCGGGATTTTTTGTCTGTGCTCCATTGACTGGTGTATCTGCTGCCTTTCCTTTGGGCGACGAGAGACTCTGATTCTCTGTTTCATCTCTCCGCAAAACTTCCGTTTGGGATGCATTTTGCGGGCGGGATAAAGGATTGCCACTGGTCACCGTGCCAGCACCAGGGTGATGTGGCGAACCACCACCAGGAGAAACAGACCCCGAAGAATTACCTCCGCCACCGGAAGCAGGGGCTCCGGCTGCACCATCTTTTCCACCATCTTTTCCACCAGGATTTACACCGCCTCCTCCACCACTTCCTCCCTTCGAAGGACCATCTTCTTCACCTGAAACTTCAGCAACGATGATGGGCAACACAGAACGCAATGACAGCATGAGCGCAGTTCTATCACATCCGTTAGGCATGTTGGATCCATTTTCACCCAACACTTCCGACGCCATGCAGCCACCCACTGCCTTCTCGTCACATATACCGCCGGCACCGCACCACAGCACGCAGAGGGCACACACCAGCAGCACACGGTCAGTCATCATCATCGCCATCACTCCTGTCACTTGCGTGCAGCCTTCAGCACAAACTAACTCCCCGTCAACGTAGAGTGAAAGCAAAAAGGAGAGACACGTCACGCAATTACGCACCGTCCCGTCCAGCAATAAGAGTCACGCAACAACAAACACATCATGAGACAGTTGGAATCGGTGAAAGGGCAAAACGCAAACACACACAGACCTAAAGCAATCAATTAGCAAGGAAAAAAAAAGTAAAAAAACAGAGGCAAAAAAGCAACAAAGAAGAAACTGCACCGAATGGCGCCAGGGTGCATGCAACCAGAACCCAAAAATGCGTCCACGCAAACAGTTGTATGCGTGTAGTACACATACGAGTGTCCCTGGGATGCGCGCCAATTGACGGATGTGGGGAGCAAAATGGAGTACACAGCAGCGCAGCGGAAGCAAATGAAGCACAATAAAATCATTATTTTCTCTTATTTTTTTACATCGGATCACAGTAGACGCGCACAGCCCGCAAACAATTCTTCAGCCCACAGCGGTGTACGCCAGCGCGGATGCGGCGAGCACCAGCGGGGCAAACGCCCATGCAGAGCTGCTGAGGCTGCCGTCGACTTCGCGAAGACGTGACTGTTTGAGCTTCGTCTTGTTAGCTGGGGCTTCGGTAGCAGTAAGAATTGGCGCCAGTGTAGTCGTGGTCGTAGTGGTGGTGGACGGTGCCTTGGTGGTGGTAGTGGTTGTCGTAGTTGGTGTCTGCATCTTGACCTCTTTATTGGTTTCGGACTTTTCTGTATCATGCTCCGTAACTATTTCTACCGTATTATTTGGGTT